GCTTATCATATGCTGGATTTTTTTAGCTGTAGAAATTGTTATAAAAATTGTGAATTCAGGCAAAAAAAGTCGAGTAATTGAAAAATTAGTTTTTATTTTCTTTTAAATCTCATGTACATAGGTGAAATTGTATTTTCTTTGAAAATGTGAAAAAAATAGTATGTGAATCACTCAAATCTATATCAAAACATTTTTTTTTCATCAAATCGGTAATTTTAAAAAACTTTTGACTTTTTCTAGATAACATAATTTTAGGCCATGCACATTTCAGTTCATTTTCCATCAAATATGTTACAAAAGCTACACCCAACGAAGTTAAGAACTGCTACAGCTCTAATTCAACGTTATGGGAAATTTCATAGAGCTGTGATAGCTCTAAAAATTTGTCCATAACGTTGCGATAGAGCAGTCACTGCTCTAACAATTTCTCATAACGTTCTCTTGGAGCTGCGGCAGCTCTGAGCTTAGAGCTGTCACTGCTCTAAGCAAGAGCTGTGAGAAATCTGGAGTTGGTTGGGTGTACCAACTGTTTTTTTATTCCCTCGTAAAATTGCTATCTCCGAAAAAATCTATTTATACACATTTCGCATAAACAAGCAGCAGACTTAGTTAAATTTTTCAATGGAATAAGTTAGAAACGGGTTTAAAGTGTTTAAGATGATTCCAAAATTTAATTTTATTAAATTATTTATTAATTTTTTTTCATTATCTAAAAAAAATAATTATAAAATATTATTATATTGATGCGTGCTTTTGGAAATTATCAGCCCTCGTACCGTGATGTGAATGTTTTTAAACAATTCCTCTCATCGGTGAGAAACTACTACTGCACCCTCACACAAGTATAAATAATTTATCACATGCATTATTCATTCTAAGTGTGCGATTTCGCGCTCACGCACCACTCCTATTTCGTCAGAAATGTTCATGCATAAGGGACTGGCAGTGCGTGAAACTATTTATCACTAGGCAATCATCATACATCTCTTTTTGCAATTTTTCTCTCTTTTGGTACAGAATGCATGATAAGGGTTTTTTTTTTTGAAAAAAATTAACTGCATGAAACTTAAAATAAATGATTATTTAATATAGTAAATAATAATTTTATCTTGATTTTTTGAAAAGCAAACTTTTTTTTCTATTTTATTTATTGTTTTTTATTTTATTATTCTAAGTTTGCAAATGAATTAAGTGCAGTCTCATTTTTATATCTATTATATTGCCTTTTTCCAGTACTTTTTGAATTAAAATTTAGTTTTATATTGATAATAATTTTCTATATTTTTTTTTAAACATTTCATTTTTTTATAGAATTAAATTAATCCAAATGCCGTTATGCCTTTCTATAAATTTGATACATACATAATTTAAAATTAACTTCAAGCACCAGTTAATTATCTTTATCTTTACCTTTTTCGCATCCTTTGACAGATTGTGAGGGAACTCGATTGTGATAATTTCACCGCTGAAAGAAGCAAGCGAGCCGTGAGGGCAAATCATTAAATAGTTTCCCATCTGTGTGTCGGTGTGAGAAACACGAGGAGAGTTTGGTGAGTTGCGCCCCGAGGCGACTCTATATCACCGCCCTTGCACATTCCGCCGGGAACAAGGGTCTGTTGTGTTTGGCTGCAAAGTTGCAATCTAAATTACGACGCTCTCGTTCGAGTGCTTGTGCTGAAAAGCAGCAGTTTCAGCCGCCACAAATTTTATTCGAACACAAACAACACAGAGCCCCAGCAGCGTGCACCGCAATATACCTCTACAAGTGCCCTCAAATTTGTTCACTTGCTACACAAACGTGTTATTTGCCGAGGTTTTGCGAAAGACCTGTTTCTGCGACCCTTTTGGCAAAATGGCATATTGTGCAATTCATAGTATGCGAATGAAGTGCTACTCTTGAAAGCGACGCAAGGCTCTTCTCTTTTTTATTCGACTGTATCAGTCAACATTCTTAAACAAAACATCATTTCAAAAGAGCTCATATTTTACATAAAGAAATTTGTGGAGTCTTGATGAAAAATATTGATTAAGAAACAACTCACATCAGTTATAAAAAGATTAATCAAGGTATCCAATACCAATTTTAGTTTTTGATCTTTATTTTTCTTTGTGTTGTAATTTGTTTTCGCAAACATTTGACCACCACATTTTAGAACACTTTTACTAAATTGAATTTAATTAATTTAATAAAATTTATATTTTGATAAAATTCAATCACTACTAAATTTTAGTGTGAATATCCCAAGAATTAATTTTTTTGAGTGCCCTGCCGCAAGATTCAACATAAAAAAAGTAAAACATTACATTGATGATTTTTTTTATTTATTTTTTTATTTTTTTACTTCAATTATCTCAATGAAAGGAGACATGTATTTCATAAAAATCTGAATTATTTTAATAATTTGCAGAAATTCAGCGATCTTTAATTAAATTTCAAGCTAGTTAAAATATCTCTGATAATTAAAAGTACTCGAAAAGCTTAAAACTAGGAGGAAAAGTGAAAGTAATGTGGATATAATCAAATGAAAAGGTCTTTATAGCAGCTTTATTTAGAGCCAAAAGTTTAGCAACTGATCAATAAAGCTTATTCTCTTACCGCCTAAAATTATTAAATCCGATTACTGATTAGGCTTCCTTAGATTAAAATCCTTGCTGCGCATAAAATTGATCATTCACACTTTGCTGGAGGCCAGACGAGGAGCTTCATTACCTTAAAAACTATCACATAAATACAAATAATTTTGATCCATGGTCTATGTTCCCCTATTTCGTTATAAAATTCACTGATATAAGAATAAAAAGGCTCCTTACACAGCATGTTAAAATTAAAAATTATGAAAGCATTCAATTTTCATAAAAAAATAACACTGAAGAATTTTTGTGATTAAGAATTTATTTCTGTTTTATATCTCGACGATAAAAAAACCTGTTAATGGCTTTTGGTATTATTTAAATGTAGCGTTGAGGAATTTTTCTTCACAATTTTCCCTAGAGCCCAAATAAATAATGCTTTTTGAGCGCAAGAATGGCATTTTTAATCACAATAAATTGAGTCAGCAGCTCACCCTATCTCTCCGCAGCAGAGGAATGAACTTTTACTGACGATGCAATGACGTGCACCATACAATACATGCAACTCCACACACTTGAATATTAGTTCTAGGTTTGAGAAAACCGAGTGCGTGAATGACCACTATAGCAATCTTCCAGCACAAGACATGCATTAGCTGATAAACAACGATTTTTCCCCGAATTAGGGAGTGTGTCTGTGCGCAGCAGCATTTTTTTGATAAAATAACACAAAGTAGTGAGGGTGGGCCTCGTGTGGCACATGATAAGGTGGCGTTTTTCGCCATTATAGTGCAGCGTGAAATATAAGCCGAGGGCACGTGTCGGGCCTAACAATGCGCCTTTATACGCGGAAAAAAGCATAACACGCGCGCCACTCTTAAGCAGGAAGGATGCTGCATCTCTTCCTTTCCAATCTCGCCCCCGTTGATTGAATATTATTGGGTCAGTCGCGTCAACCCTTCACCAGAAACGAAATTGCCAGAGTAATATCCGGATTGAGCGTCGCCAAACACAATATTGCGCCTCGCACACTCAATTGTGTACATTCTCAATGATCTCTCGTCGCGACTTATTGATTGCCGCACGATGAGCGACGAGTTTTTGGTTCTTTAAACTCTTCAGACTAACAAATAATTAAATATTTTAAATTTTTCCGGTAATGAAAAAAGTTTCAAATTTTAAGTTAATTTTTCAAATCGAAAAGGACTCGTGCTAAATTTAAGTTAAAATGTTTGTTGTTCTGAAGTGGGAGATATTTTTTTTAGTTAATGAATAAATTAATTGAAATTTCATCGTAGTTGTGATATATGTCTCTAAATAAATACACTTATTTTTACTCACATTTGTAAAAACAAAAAATTCTAATGTTCTATTCCTTTTGTTTTCCAGGTCTGGTAAGAGCCCTTTTCCTGCTTCAAATTCCAGCTCGTAGCCGCGCAGACATACTTGTAAGGATTAAAATGCAATTAACTTCTATCGCATCTGTTTAATATAAAATTCTTGAGCAAAATATATAGACCTAGAGAACGCCATTAAAACTAATGTCAATCTCTTTCATATTTAAATTTTGCTGCGCGCATTCCATTCCTCTCTATATAGTTGGAAATTTATCAAACCGTAAACACGGCTGACCTGCTTTTAGAATATTATCATTTTTGAATGAAGATGTTCGGGGAAAGTCCATTAATAATTTTTAGTCTGACGTGCGGGCTCCCGCTGCGTCCGTAAATAACGCGAAATAAATGACCAAGTAATCTAATTCACGCCGAATAGGTTAGCATATTTTATTGCCCTTTAATTCCGCAGGCTGTCAAAAATGATTGATGCTCCGTTGAGATGGAAGCTCTAGTAGAAGAAAGGGAACAACGGGAACAAAAGCGATTTGTAAACGTACACATTTTCTCGTGCCAAATCGATAATAAACTTTCTTAGGGGGGTCGCACGCACGTGTGCGCCCTTTCATAAAACTAAATTGGATAGAATCCTTTAGATTGGGGATATTTTCCAATATAAAAACATTTTCACGCATCACAAGCTTAATGGAATTAAAATGAGAAAAATTTTGAATGAGAACAGCGTGGTGCTAATGCACACTGGCTTTCGGGTCACGGTGATATCGATCATAACTGATATGGGAACTCGTCCAACAGGCATCTTTCTATAAACATAATTACGCTCGTCGAAAAGCGGTGGCACCCTTCTCGAGTTATCATCCCATTAGCAGCCAGCGTGGCCGAAAAGAGCGAGTGATATTGCTTTTCACGAGGGAAAAAAGAAGAGAGAAAACTGACGTGAAGGGACACGCGCTTGAAGTGGTGATAAAGTGGGCGCTGCACATAATGTTCTCTCCACAAAAGTAAAAAACCGGGCATTTTAAGTGCAAAAGTTCTTCCAAGTAGGTAGTTAAAGTTCCAGAAAAAAATGCTTACCTCTCACGAATGGAGTTGACCATCGGGTGGCTGCATGGCGCCCCTCTCCGACCACCAAAAACGATTATTGGAATTGTTTTTGTTTTTTTTTCTTTTGAGGAACAGCGATCACATCGAACAGAGGCGGTTCAAATTTGCGGCTCGGAGAGGGAATTAAAAGTTCAAGAGACGATCAGAAAGAAGGGCAAAGCGCACCAGGCACCACACACTTCTAGTCCACATCAGTTTCTAACTTAACATCTCACTTCGAGTTTTTCAGTTCTTTCTTTAGTAGATTTGTTAATTCTTTACAAAATATCATTGTTGCCATTAGTTCTAGTGGTTTTGGTGGCGTTGAGTGCTCGTGTATCCTCCGGGTCACGGCCGTTGCGACCCTCGCCTTCATTGTTGACCGCTGAGATTGCGCCGCCAGGAGATCGGCCACCAATGGCAGTGCCTCCCGGACAACAGTAGATCACTTTTCGGAAAGCCTTGCGGAAGTTCTCGGAGAGGTAAGCGTAGAGGATGGGGTTGACGCACGAGTTCATGTAGGCGAGCACGTGGCTGATGATCTGCACCATGATTCCGAAGGCGCTGATTTCGTACATTTCCAGGCTCTTCATGACCAGGATGATCTGGATGGGACACCAGCAGATGGCGAAAGTAGCCACCACGACCACTACCATTCTGGTAACCCTTTTCTTGCCCCGACGGCTCTCGGCCGAGACACGACCCCCAGGGGCCACTCCTCGCCACAGACGAAGCAAGATGCAGAGGTAGAGGCCGCAGATGAGGGCCAGGGGCAGCACGTAGGACGTAACAAAGAAGCTGATCTGGAAGGCGGCCCACTGGTACTCTTCGTTGAGGAAAACGCACACGATGTGCACCTCATCCAAAAAGGGGTAATGCCTCTCTCCGTGGCTGTAGTAAACCGGCACCGAGCTGAAGACGATCAACACCCAGAGGACGCAGATGGCGATGACCGCGTGTCTCTCGGTTCGGACAGACATGGACTTGATGGGGTGGACGACTGCTAGAAACCTGTCAAGGGACATGAGCACCAAGGTGTAGACACTGGCGTATGCAGTGACCACGATCAGGTACTGGACGATTTTGCACCAGACGTCGCCGAAAGGCCAGTAAGTCAAGACGTAGTCGCTGGCAGTGAAGGGCACGCAGAAGATGATGAAGAGGAGGTCAGCGACGGCCAGGTTGATGATCAGGAGGTTGGTGGTGGAACGCATTTGGGCGTTAGCGCTCACAACGACCACAACCAGTGCGTTGCCAATCAGTCCGATGATAATGATGATGCCAAAGAGAATGGGAACGATGATGGACACAATTTGGGTCATGGTCTCGGACAAACGGTCAGCGGCCTCCTCATCACTGCTGTTCCTCAGGCTGCGACATAGGGGCATCTCTCGGAAGTCCGAGTTGTTGCATTGCTCGAAGAGCACGTCTGCGGAAGGTTCTTCCATGTTTTTCTTGTTTATCTGATGGTCATGTCAAATAGAGCTTTGATAGTGCTTGGGTGCAGATTAAGTGGGCTTTACTGGATGGGTGATGATTTAGCTGCCGTCGCTGTCGGCATTGCCTGGAATTAAACAAACCAAAGGGTCAGTAAAAGCACGTTTCCGTCTCTTTTAGAACGGGTGGGCGAACGAACGGGGTAGAGAGAGAAAAAAAATATTTATTCAAACAAACAATCCATTTCCTCTGCGCGAAACGGCGCCGCCGGCAGACGGTGCGCTCGGGATATTTACAATAAATTAGTGCGTAATGTCTGAAGGAATGAGCAGCAGCTGCTCTGAGGCCCTCCATTTATTCATTCGGACAATTGGATTTAGAGAAGAGAGAAAAATAATTATATAGCAGTTTGTTTTTGGCAGTTTGGCGGGCACTTGCCCTCGTGTATATTCTGGCCGCGTGTGTGACAGCCGCGTGTATATGCTAACCATCATTCAGCGCGGCGCTAAAATGGATTGTTTATTTCGAATATATTTCATTCTAAATTAACTTCTATTTTTGTCCTACATCTCAGGGAGTTCTGGGCTAGAAAAACATGTTAAATAAACAGAGAATTCCAAAAAATCAGCAGGAGTTGAATTTTTGTAAACTTTATTGTAAATAAATAACATCCAAGAGGCAAAATCGAGATCATTATTTTCAATTTTGCACTGTAGACTCATTTTATGAAAATAATTTTTCTGAAATAGTGATTTCAGACGAATATTTATAAAAGTTACGTGACGTAGTTGGGAAAAATCAAATTAAATAATTCTGTGGGATAAAAAATAACTCCAAATAAATTAATAATTATGAAAACCGAAATATTAAATTCAAAAAGAGGTGAAACATCAATTTTTATAAACTGTATGAATAATAAATTTCTTTAAATTCAATTCTACAATTTCGCGGTTTCAATTTGAATATGAAATTTGAAAAATCCTTTTTTCCTATGTGAAGATTTTTGTATAAACAATTTATAAAAAAAAAAACACATAATATAACTAGTGAAAATTTTGTGAGAGTAAAAACGGTCAATTTCCCTCTGCAATCATGAGTAAAATCCAGTGAATGTTAAATTAAATTAATCAAATTCACTTATTTCAAAATCCATCAGAGTTCACTCTGTCCTCAGCAATAAACTCTCTCCTGTTAGCAACAGAAAGAGGCGTATTTCCGACTATCTTTCACGAAAAACGTGATCCGTCAGTGGTCAGTGTTAGTGCGTGCAGCGTCCTTTGTTGGTAACTTTGATATTTTTTCGTCTCTACTCGCGTTACAGCAATCTGCTGTGTTAATCCGTGCGACTGGCCGGCTTAGTCACGAGCTCTTCAATTAAGGCTTTGTTTACTGCTCTCATTGCGCCGCAGATTGTTTGCCCGTTATTGACTTTTACTGCCTGCGCCTAGGGCCATAAAATCAAAGGCGGCTTTTTCAGTTGGTCGGGCGCAATTAGCTGATTGAATGACGTCGAAATACACACAACGTGTGTGCGTCGTGAGCTTAATGCAAAAACCATTACTATCAGACCAAGACTAATGCACCATTGATTGATGTCTTTTTTCGGTAAACCGAGACAAAATCTGGCAAATGAAATGCCTCCAAATCTGTTCTAGTTTCAGAATAAATTGGAAATTAATTCAGCGCTCACACAAAAAAATTACCTACTTTTGAAAATATTTTTTCAATGGATTTTGTACATTTATATTTAGAGGGAGATGTAGATTTCCAATTCAGTATACGTTATGCCGCCCATCCCTAACGTTTTCTGAAAGCGATATCTTTAAAGAAGCTGCTGTCAAGTCTGAATGAAAAGATGTGACTCCGCCTGCTCAGTCAGTCCGTGGTCGCTCGTGCATGCGAATCTAAATTTCTCTCTCTGGGAGGAGGAAAAGGAGAATCTTTTTTGTATACATGTATACCTCGGAATAACGCGTCTCTCACGTGCCAAATTCCGGTAATTTAGCTACGTGCGCAAAAAGGGAGCGGGTGTGTGCTTTTGGCGCACTCAACTTTTCGCCACACACGTTTTCGCACAAGATAAGTGTGTACATGGTAGAGATAGAGAGAATCTGTCGGAGACGGTCCTTAATAATGCAAGGGGGAATTTTGCGCGCTGCGATATTAGCATCGCGGCACTTCTTCTCTTGCGATAGGAATGCCTGATGACATCTCAAATATTAATGGAAATACGAATGTTATGTGTGCCTTTGACAATCGTACTGTATCGCGAGCGCTCGTGTACAATTTATCGTGTGCCTCTTGAGAGAATTGCAAAGCCCGTAGCTTGTTGAGACCGTCCCAAGGGAAACAGATAATTTGATGGCATCGTTTGACTTTCCGAGAAGTGATATTGAGATGAGGGGTACCTTACTACTTCCGCATTCAAATGAAACCATTTGTAAATTTGGAAACCTTTAACCTATGCTAATTTGGCTTTTAAAACCACTTTTCTTACAAAAGTTAATATATTTTAAATTCTTAACTCTCGCAATTACAATTTTTCTAATTTTCAGTTATAAGTGATATTATCAACCACATATTCCAAGAACCGAGTAAAAATTTTTTATCAAATCGTGTTTAAATAAAATTAATTTATTAATTTTACAATTTACATTTATGTTCATTTGCTTCAGTTTTAATATTTCTGCATTTAATAGAAATAATTTGTTAGCTCATCAAATCTAATTTTTAAAGCTCGAAACTAATTTCTAACAGCTTTAGTACATTTTACGCATTCAAGTTTCAAAATGTTTTCATCTTATTGTTAGGGAGATTATTTCCAAATATATTTAATTAATTAGGGAAAATATTTTTCATTTAAGTTGTTAAATTTACTCTGGAACTAAATTTCGACAAAGACAATAAGAAAAGACATTTTAATTAGTGTCTCAATTCACAAGGTTCCAGGAATAATATATATAAAAAGAGAAAAAACTTGCAACAATTAATTTATATGCACTTTTAAAACACATTTAAAAATAGGACGCAAGCATCCCAATGATTTTTTTTTCTTTTTTGTAAATAATTTGGACAATATCAATCACAAAGCATTCTCTCCTCCTTTGCATCGTTTTCTCGTTGCGAGAGAATAAATTAATTGAATTCTTTATTACAAGGAGCAATCCACGTAAAAGCCACTATAAATTTAAATATTTATAAAATATCTTGACGCCTAGTATCATTAAATTTACTTCCCTCTATTTTATAAACACATAAAGATGACAAAACTCAGATTTAAATTTCAAAACATGAATTTTTATTTCAGGACAGGTGCATATACTCAAAAAGCAACGAGCGCCATTTACGCTATTTACCAAAGTGCCAAGAAATACATGAATTATGCGCATATAATTTTTTACTCGCTGCCACGATTTATTTGAAAACGTTCTGGCTCATTTAGTCTTAGTTCTAGCACTAAATTCGATGTTATGATTACGAGCAGCCGTGGCACGAGTATTTTTAGGCATTAGAATTCATCTGTGGCGGCGCTCGCTTAAATTTTCTCATGCACCACGCGCAAAAGAGCAGAGCAGCCCATCAACGAATATTGCAAAAGAGATCTGCTCGGCAGCCAGTGAGGCAGAAAGCAACTCTGCGAGATGCATTCTAATGGGATTCTTTTGAAACCGCCTTAGCCAAATGAAATTTCATAGTGCTCGGTAAAAAAGGAATATATGCAAGCAAAAATGGTAATAATCTCTGTCTAGCCGCCAGCGAAACGCGTGTCTAAATGTACGTAAAGAAAGGGAAAATATAAAAGCTCATGAGCATTTCCGAGTGAGATTGAGGGGACTTTGGACACAAAAAATTACCCCATCTTATTTTAACATATGTCAAAGTGGGTGTCTATAGGGGCCTCTTCGCCAATTTTGAGACCTCAAAAAAGGGGCGTTGCCCAAAATTTTGGGGGTTGAAAAATGACCCGAGATTTTTTTGATTGTCCATAACTTTGGAACGGTTTGGGTTAGAACAATGATCTAAACTGTTCCTGACCAAACTTTTTACGCTGAACAACTTTGCTGTTGACATAAAAGTCGTAGACTTAAGGGTAATGTCACTTTTTGGAGATTTTTATATAAAAGTAAAATTTTGACGATGATAGCCCCCTCCAATTTTTTTGGTGGTATAGGAAAAAATGTAGCCCGTGAAATTTTACGTCGGCCCTGTAATTTTCAGAATGGCCATTATTGCCGTTTTTGAGAAAATACAGGCTAAATAATGAAAAACGTGCTTTTCCGAGGCATATTTTTGGATAAAAATTTTAAAAATCTTAAAAATTAATAAATATGAAATAATTTATGGTTCTCACAGACAAAATAACTAAAATTTAGGATATATCGTGGTTCTGATTGATTTTTCAGGTTTTTAAAATTTTTATCCAAAAATATGCCTCGGAAAAGCACGTTTTTTATTATTTAGCCTGTATTTTCTCAAAAACGGCAAAAATGGCCATTCTGAAAATTACAGGGCCGACGTAAAATTTCACGGGCTACATTTTTTCCTATACCACCATAAAAATTGGAGGGGGCTATTATCGTCAAAATTTTACTTTTATATAAAAATCTCCTAAAAGTGACATTACCCTTAAGTCTACGACTTTTATGTCAACAGCAAAGTTGTTCAGCGTAAAAAGTTTGGTCAGGAACAGTTTAGATCATTGTTCTAACCCAAACCGTTCCAAAGTTATGGACAATCAAAAAAATCTCGGGTCATTTTTCAACCCCCAAAATTTTGGGCAACGCCCCTTTTTTGAGGTCTCAAATTTGGCGAAGAGGCCCCTCTAGACACCCACTTTGACATATGTTAAAATAAGTTGGGGTAATTTTTTTTGTCCAAAGCCCCCTCAATCTCACTCGGAAATGCTCTCATAATGTGCGGAAAAGTAAGCAAGGAAGGCAAAAGTAGGCAAGCCTCCAAGGCACGAAATTAATTAAAAATGTGCCGTAAACACTTCTTCCCTGGTGTTGTTTGACACCAACTTTTTTTCGTACCCAGTAGAGCGGGACCGGACGGAGGTGAAATCAACGAGATTTTTCGCAGCTGCTCTTTTCCAGTGAAAAATTATCCTCCCTTGTCTCCCGAGGGTCGTGTGTTGTATTTTTCTTTCCGCCTTGTGCGGTTTCAATTATTGCAAGAGCTGGTTTTAACAAAGGACCCCGTTTTAAACGGGAGCTTTAATTAAACTTGAGTGTTGGAGTTTATGCCTTCAACAAGGTGGCAATTAATGCAGAATTTGAATTGTTCTGAGAAATTCCAGTTCGATTGGTGCTGCGGTGAAATTAATTAAGAAGTTAGAAGCTGATCAAACAAAAGGAGACGCGCGGAACAAATTTTTGTTTGTTTGTCAGCACATTTGCTTTTAATTAAAGGTTAAACGCCCCCTCATTTTCTGCTTGTTAGCATTATCTGGGGAGATGAATATGCACGAGTTTAATCTTGAGAGCAGCTTAGCATGATGATATTCTTGTCCATAAAATGTTGGTTCAAATTCATTAAAGTAAAAAAAAAAAATGATCAAATAAAAACTCTACAAACTTTTAATAATAAATATAATTAATATCAAAAATTTTGAAAGAGAACTTTGAAGATAATCTTTTCCTTACTGGATTTTCTGTTTCCATTCCATTCTTGTTCAAAAAGTCAAGAAAAAAAAATCAAAATTAGTTGGTTATAAAAAGATTTAATTTACTCAATTTGTTAATATTTTCCTTCTCAAAATTCTATAATTTTAAGAAAAGTTGGGAAAATTAGTTCCTTAATTAGTATTCTTATTCTTAAAAGTCTCCTTCTAATTTTCTGTTTCGTAGAAGAAGCTCACAACCTAATGCCATATTGAGTTGAAAAGGAGCATTTTCTTGATGGCCTTTTATAATTGGTTTATTGTTTTCATAAGAAGAAGAACAACAGAGCAGGAAATTGTTTTCCTATGAAAACAATAGTAGAACATTCTCACAAAGCCAATGACGAAAGCCCTTTTTCACTTCTGACTCGCCCCATTGTATTTAGAAAAAATATGAATCTCATTATTATTGTTGTTGCTTATTCACCCTTGGTGGTCGATGCAATTATAATATGGTTTATGTATGATTTTGTTCACTTATTTAATTTCTTTTTTCCGTGTTATAAATAACTTTTTGAAGGAAAAAAAACTTTTTTTATTTCCTGTTATGCAACAATTTCCCCTGCTCTCATTGACCAATTTTCAATTCAAAATAACATATATAAAAGATATTAAATAATGACAAATTGGAAAAATTTCTAAATAAATTTTTTCTTTAGATTTGATTTTGGCGAGTAAAAAAATGGGAAACTTCTTACCTGAAACAACTGCTCGTCACTGGGACATTAATGTATCTATGTGGTGGAGCGGCCGTGGAGGAGCGACAGAGCAAAACAGGGGTGCCCGTCAGCAGGAGTTGACGGCGCTGACTGCGAGACCGTGGCGGCTCTTGGTGCCGAGGCCGAGCGGCGCCACACCTCGCGACCGACCGTCCTGCGCACTCTTGCCCTCAAACACGAGTTCTTCTTTTCCTCCCATTATTTCCAATGCGAGCGCCGAATTCGCCGCCCAGCAGGAATTTCGACTAATTGACTTTTGACTACAAGAAGAAGGCACCCTCGTGCCCAAATCGGCTTAGTTGTTCCAGAAGTTTCTAAATTGGTAAAGAGCCAAATAATTCACTTATTGTTTTCTGTATAAAACTTTTTCGTACGAACGATTGCTAATAAGTTTCTATAACAATATAAAAATTTTTGCTGTAGAATGGCGAAGATTTTATTTAACATTTAAATGGAAATAGTGATAAATATTCCATATATAACAGTTAAAGCTTGATTTTTTTATGATTATTTGAACTATAAAATTATTGGAAGCTTTGTGGTTCATTTTGGTTTATTAATTAGCATCCCTAAAATAGGTTCGAATTTTAATAATATTCAGTGATTTAAATTTTTTCCTGGAACTTATAATAAGTTCAATAATTAAAACCATACAGATTCAGAAACCAATTAATTTTTTATTTTGGTAACATTCAAAAATATTATGCGGACAATTTGATTGGAATTAACAATAACTTAAATTATGACCAAATTATTCTGAGAATGGAAATTAAAAGCTCGAAAAGCGTAATTATTTAATTTATCTCCTTATTTAAGCCGGCCACAGAAATAAGCTACAAAATAAAATAATTACATATATTTATATTTTTTTTGCCAAGTGCTTGCTTTCAAATGAAAATTATATTTTATAGATATTGCTAATTTTATTCTGACCTATTAACTTTCGCTTCAAAGTGTTTCAAAGCATATTTGAAGTGTATGTGAATATTACATGTTATTTTATTATTGATTTCAGTAGCGCGTGTAAAGAAAGTTCTAATGAAAATGACACTTTTCCTACCGTGTATATAATAAAAGAGAAATGAGAATTCCTTTTGCTCTCTTTGTTAATTATCACTCATAGTTGAAGCGCGTGGTGCAATTAAGCCTAATTGAAAATCATTAGCACAGTACGCCATCTCACTCCTCTCTCATTAAAGACAGTCGTAAAGAGTTGACAAAACACGTTCTGCTTGCGCCGATGGTTCGCTACATTTATGAACTCCAATGGAAGTCTCATTTGTATACAAACAAAAGTAATATAATTACTTGAACCGTCTTCCTTTCGCTTTTACTTCAGGCAAAACAATATAAATTTGTGTCGTGGAAACTTTGCACAAATTTCACTCTTGTGTCTCTCGCAACCGGTAGTAATTTTGTAACGGGCTAGAGGTTAATGAAACCGCTGACGCCGCCTGCTACTGATTGCTTAGGCAAAACGCCGGTCTGTTCTGTCGTGCGGGTGGCCTAACCTACGCCCGTGGCAAGGTGGATTGATCAGGTTTGCCGCAAAATTACAGGTGAACGAAGATTTAAAATGCTAATTTAGAAATAATTTTATTCTTAAGTTTTCATCCGGTTGAATGAAAATCATTTTTCTCACGAGTTGATAAAAAAAACCGCAAAAAACATTAAATTTTTTGAACAATTGAAACAGATCTACTCTAGAGCGAACTTCGTATTAATGTAGAAAAAAAGGTGAGGTGTTGTCCTTTCATTTTTTTATTTGCAGCAGGCCAGATTTGCAATTGCAAAACTGAATTATTTGCACACAATATAAACTGTTTTTTTTTTGTCAAAGAAATAAATCTAAAAGAATTAAATAATATAATAATTGATGAATCGTACAAATTAACTTACAAAATAATTAACTATTTTATATTGTTGTCTTCTGTTGATGGGTGTAAAATTAAGACGCCTTGCGTTTTTCATGAGAAAAGCAAAAGGTCTAGAAATTTATTATTTTTTGCAGTACCTGGAAATTTTGAAACTCCACACCAGGAGAAGCAAATTGAAATTTTATAATACAGAATAAATAAATAATTTAATTTTCTCCAGTTAACTTGTTACTTAAAGCAGATTGTAAAATTGTACCATATAAAAAAAAATAATAATAACTAGAATTGAAAAAGAAAAAAGAAAAATAAAACTTTTTCAACGGCAGACTGCTGTACTTGGGAACACTTCAACTAGCTTCAAAGCTCTACAAAACAGGGAAAAAGTTCAAAGTGACATCTGCCCTTAATAAAGATGCTTTCATTACGTTGCACCAGTTACAAATTTGCATCGAGGGTATCCGTTTGGCACATGTATTATTAGCGAAACTGTACATCGTCGTTTTTTGCTCGCGTTCGAGGACTCCAATTTGCCGCGCTGCAAACTAATAACCGTCTTCATTACTTGGCGAGGCAATTTGGCGCAGTAGAACACGGAGAATAACCATTTTATAGTTCCCGTGCATTCCATGTGTCCGTCCGGCAACAATGACGTGTAACAATCACGGCCGGCCAGCTGGAATTGAGTTACACACGAAAGGGGACGCAGGAGAGGAAAAATGCGATACGAATTGCACTATTTTGCAGCGTGCACTTTACGGGCGTCGCTCCAACCACAATATTCCATGGTGTGCGTTCATTTCGACATAATTCACCAGCAAATTAATGACCTCGGCAACCTTTTCTCGACCCACTTGCTCCCTTCATCTGCACTGAGCATGAGCACTCAATCGCCCCGTCAAAGAAAGAAAACAGATTGCTCGCTTGACGTTTTCCTTATACTCCTGGAATCTATGAAACCATATAAATATGAACGAGCAAGAAAAATAATGCAATTTTTCCTCCTCGCGTTGTTTTACTGGAGTGCATTCAAAATGAAATATTTTTTTCTTGTTACTTCCAGAGAAATTCAATATTATGAGCAAAGAACCTAAGGTATTGCGTTTTCATTTCGCATCAAATAATGGGATTTTGAAAGTTTTGCAAAACACCCGGTTTCACGTTATAGATCTAGAACTTCTAGAACTAAAAATAAAAATTGCAATAATGGGACTCCTGATTGATACCATTTAAATAAAAAGTATTTGATAATGTTTCCTGCTCATCTTTGTCAGAAAACCATTCCATTGCGACAAAAAAGCGAAAACTAAGAGGAGCAATTTAGATAATTAGCCGTAATGAACCTGAAAGGAACAACAGAAGCGTAAATTATACGTTAAATGAGAAATTTGTCATACAATCTATTTATAACGCAAGTATTAATTTTTTAAATTTTATTTTTGAAAGTTGGTGACCCTCCATATTATTTTTTTATATAAATATTTTGTAGTAGTGCACTGTGCATTAACATGTAAGTTGAGTACTCAGAGTCAATAAATAATTTTTAATCAAGCAGAAACTTAAATGTATTTATTCAAGTTGTTTTTCCTGAGTTAAACATTTTTAGTATAAATCCGTTATTAGGAGGAAAGTACATTTTAAAAGGCACCACCACTAGCAAAATTTTATTTATTTTCATAAATACAATGACTCCAGCTTCCACCACAGTTTACATAGTTATTGTTCCTTTCCTTCCACTGTGACTTTCCAACAACTTCTACTTTCGGAATAAAAAAAAACCAAAATTATTATTGACACCTACATTCGAGCAATGAGCGTAGAGGTTAAAAATTGCTCCTAAAGCACCAAATCTGTACCAAATCATTAAATCCCATTTCACAATGATTTATTTTGGGTCACTTAAGATAACAGAAGCCATGATATTATGCGTCGTAATTTAAATGAAGTTTTAAAAATTCAATTTTTTTTTAAGCAATAAATAAATTAATTAATTAATAATTAAATTCCGTATGAAGGTTGCAAATTTTGTTTAATTTCCTTTACATTTAATTTCCTTTATAATATAGCCGTTCCATAAAATTACTGATCCTTATCATACTGTGTGCTGATTACAGTGTAATCACTATCAGACGGATCAGTATCTATTTAATTAAAGCGTGTAAAACATAATTATATATCATCAAGTTTTCACTGACTGGAAGAGTGTAAACCAAATGGTAATTATAAATTAATTCTGTGGTAGAATTTCACAATCGAGGGTTGATTCATGGTGATTTGAATTTAAAATCGGCTTTTCCTCGATGGGTTTTTGTGAGTTGTTTATTGTTTAAGAAAAAACAATATCCTGCTCTACATGTTTCGGCTGCGGGCTGCAGCCATAATTCATGAGCTGCGAAAACATTTTGACAAAAATTAGTACAAAATTAAATCTTTTCAAAAATTATTTTTCTTTCAAATTGACAATTTTCATGAAAAATTATTTAAATTAACATTTCTTCACAAAATAATTTTTAACATAAAATTTGACATTTAATTAAAAATATTTTTTAAAACATGAATTTTTTATAGTAATTTTGGTCAGAATATTTAAACGTGTGTTTTGAGCGTACCTTTCTCGGCGGTGGTAGAGAGAAGACTAAATTATTTTTCGGTTGGTTTTTCGGGTAAAAGATATGTTTTGGGATTGCATTGTATTCACTCGTCGCCACTGCTGTCTGCATATTTCTTTATTTTGTGCGCGGCCTAAGCTGATACCTGTGGGTGCGGATGGGTTTATTGCTCTTTTGTGCACTTGCAATAGGCGCGGCGGCACTCTTTTTCTTTCTCCTGTTTTCTCCTGGCGAGCGGAGGGCTGTTGCCGCGGCTGATTTTCTTCTCCCTCTTGGCGGCGCCGGCCACGAACACTTGCTTTTTTCTTTGAAATAATTTTTGGCCGCCTTGATGGGCTTATACCAGATTTTTTCAACCGTCAAACTCGGCTGGCTGATTGTATTGCCGATCGCCACCATGGCCATTGATTCTGCCGCCACTCTCTTTTTGTAATTTTTCTCGCGGTGAATAATGCTGGCGCCCTCAAAGTCGATATCATGATTTGTTTTTTGCGCATGCATCGCCAATTTGTTGTGATTCGGTGCATTTTCGTCTTGTGGTTTTGTTAACGCTCGCATGTGTTCTCGCACTCGTGTTTTCAAAGTTCGTTTTGTCTGCCACAAGCAAAAACACCCTAAGAAAATTTTTAATGTGTGTAAAACCGAAAATTCCCCCATCGGAAAAAGAAGTAGTGTATAAAATTAATTGTAAAACGTGTGATAGAGCATATATCGGGCAGACAAAACGAACTTTGAAAACACGAGTGCGAGAACACATGCGAGCGTTAACAAAACCACAAGACGAAAATGCACCGAATCACAACAAATTGGCGATGCATGCGCAAAAAACAAATCATGATATCGACTTTGAGGGCGCCAGCATTATTCACCGCGAGAAAAATTACAAAAAGAGAGTGGCGGCAGAATCAATGGCCATGGTGGCGATCGGCAATACAATCAGCCAGCCGAGTTTGACGGTTGAAAAAATCTGGTATAAGCCCATCAAGGCGGCCAAAAATTATTTCAAAGAAAAAAGCAAGTGTTCGTGGCCGGCGCCGCCAAGAGGGAGAAGAAAATCAGCCGCGGCAACAGCCCTCCGCTCGCCAGGAGAAAACAGGAGAAAGAAAAAGAGTGCCGCCGCGCCTATTGCAAGTGCACAAAAGAGCAATAAACCCATCCGCACCCACAGGTATCAGCTTAGGCCGCGCACAAAATAAAGAAATATGCAGACAGCAGTGGCGACGAGTGAATACAATGCAATCCCAAAACATATCTTTTACCCGAAAAACCAACCGAAAAATAATTTAGTCTTCTCTCTACCACCGCCGAGAAAGGTACGCTCAAAACACACGTTTAAATATTCTGACCAAAATTACTATAAAAAATTCATGTTTTAAAAAATATTTTTAATTAAATGTCAAATTTTATGTTAAAAATTATTTTGTGAAGAAATGTTAATTTAAATAATTTTTCATGAAAATTGTCAATTTGAAAGAAAAATAATTTTTGAAAAGATTTAATTTTGTACTAATTTTTGTCAAAATGTTTTCGCAGCTCATGAATTATGGCTGCAGCCCGCAGCCGAAACATGTAGAGCAGGATATTGTTTTTTCTTAAACAATAAACAACTCACAAAAACCCATCGAGGAAAAGCCGATTTTAAATTCAAATCACCATAAATTAATTCGTTAAAATTTCCTAAAACTTGAATAAAATATTATAAAAAGTAAAAAAATAAACATGTGAGCTGCAAAATTTCGTGTATATCCTTCACAAATCGCACTCATGACTAGTGTGGGGCAGTGTTTAGTTGAATATTTGATTTATAAATAATTATCATTTAAATAGTTAATCATCCGATTCAGACTTGGGTTATAATGAAAAGGGCAGTTGGTTTAAAAATTAATAGATAATGTGCTTCAAAGTAACTCAATAATTTTATGATCTACGCCATAAGGTTTATTTCAAAGCAAGTTGAAAACGAAAGTAATTGAAAATGTAGATTGCATCTTATTATTTTGATAAAATAGGAAATTAGTTTGAGCAGGAAATTAGAGGTAAAGAGATTCACAGTTTTAAATTTGACAATAATTATACTCATGAGTTTAGGTAAATATTCCACAGTATATTGACACAACCTGCCATGTTGCTGCTTTCTCTATTGTATATCTCGGCTCACATTTTGGTAAACATATCAAACATATCAAGTGCAAGTATGTACTTCAAAGCGTATGTCTCTTTTTTATAAACTCTTACTAGAACGTGGATTCAAAAGCTGCTAAACTGCCGTTTTGCTATGCTAATTGCACCTTGCATGACCACTCTCGCAAGGTTTTGATTACATAAATAATAAGTTTCATGAATAAAAATACCTTATTTTTGTGAAATTAATATCAGAAATACTTGGAGTCTGCATTCCCTGAAGGTTAGTTTGAGTGAAATTTGTAAAATTATCTGTAGATTTTAACTTAATTTAACAGATTTCATATCTGGATCAGATTGTAAGTTTAATAAGATAATAAAAAGAAAAAACACGTAATAATAAGTTTTGCATAATTTAAAAAACATAGCTTTGTTTTCACTTTTGTCGAAAGATCACTCAAAATACATTGGAAAAAGGGAATTTATTTGTGGTCGATTGTACTTTTTTGGATTTACAAAGGTTTTCCTATTTACCTATCTTATTGTTTTGAAATTATTTTAAAAATAAAAAAAGGTATCATACAAGGATGCAGTGATTGCCTGTGCCCAAAGACGCATGCAGCTCATGTCAATCAATGATGGGCCTAAGCAACAAAAGTGCCTTGCTGACGCGCATAAATTTACGAATACGATCTATGGCTGGTTAAGTAAAAAGTTCAATTTAGACGTTTCTCACCAGTAAAATTTTAACATAGATGCAGATAATTCTGACTATGTATGGACCAGCGGTATGGCTGAGGGGAGATCAACGAGGTGCAAATCTGTGGCGTATTCGTGGTGCGCTAAAGCCTCGAGCATTGTTGATCCTGAGTTTTTCAACCTTTCCAAAGTTCAGTCAGACCAGAAGTGTTTGGCAGTTAGTCCTAAGATGGGAAATCTTGCTAGAGTCAGTTGTGAAAAACTGCTACCTTTTTATTGTGAGGTATGTTGTTCTTTTGTCATATTATTTATTTATAATCAATTATGTAATAATCAATGGACCTGGCATTTCCCTGATGATAATTTTATTTCTGTCTCATTTAATAAAAATGCCTCACCAGTTTCAGCCACTAACTGCAGTCCTATTTAATGTGAGAAAGGTTGAAAAATAAAATAATAATACATTAAAAATGAAAAATATTATAATAATAACCAAACCTTCTACACACTTTAATTTAACTTCGGTCGATTTAAAAAAATTTTCTTCCATGAAATATGCTGCTGCAGTTAGTTGCTTGTCTAAGTCAATATGTGTCCTTTTTTCCCAACAACCTCAAAAGCTGCTGTTCACCTTTATCATTATTTGTTAGTTTCTTTTGTTCAATAATAAGCGTTACATTATTTAAAACTTGTAGAATCGGTGCAGTAAAGTCTTCTGTCCTAGCAATGATATCTGCAAGAAAGACGTATAAAATCAGTTCAAATCAAATAATATGGATTAATCACGTACAATTTAGGAGAGCCTTTTTGATGAACATAATAAGCTGAAAAGTAAATTTTAAAATTTTTCTGCCGCCAACAATGAATTGACTAAAATTATTGGTGTAGAAGGCCTCAGCTTTGGAATTTGGACTCAAATTAATGTTAATCGTTTGATGAACATAACTTATTTATTTGGGAAAATTAAGGTTACCTTAAAAATAATTCATGCAAACCACACCAAAAAATTCACAAGTTATGAGAGGTTTTCTTTTTTAGATGTCATGGGCAGAGAACATTAAGATGTGCTGCAAACTCGGAATGATTCCTATTTATCCTGATACCTCTAGAATGAGGAAAATCATAGGCGCAAAATTTAATCCGGGTATGTTGAAAATTGAAAATTTATACCGAGCTTCATAAACTCATTATATTTATTTAATAAAATAAAATGAAAAATTTAATGGGACCGATCCCAGTGACGTGTTTGACTTTTTGACTTTGCCCAACGAATAATATTGCAAGGTAAATGACAAACGTTTACGGGATATTCTCTCAGAACGAAGTCAAAAAGCCTTATGGTGTGATTTTTTGGTATTAATTAAATGTCCGTAATTACAATTTATTTAATATGGTTTAAATTATTTATGAACACCACCGCATTTTAGTTCAAATTCATTTAGTTTTTCAATCAAAATAAATATTATTCACAATAATAGCTTACAATCAGATTAAATCATTTATAGAACTCGCGCCATTCTACTGGACGGCTGGAACAAAGCTCGGATGTGTTGGTCAATACCGATTCTGTATGCATAACGAATTGGGTCTTTGGGACTCTGATGTTCAGATATGGAAACATTTAAATACTGCATTCTCTGGCTCTTGCCTTGCAATACAGCAGGTTAATGACAGGAGTTTTCCGTTCTATCCCGTTCAAATGCAATGCTCGTCGGTCCTTGTAAATTTTGCATGCGAGATCATGAATACTAACGTGATTGACATCATTGGAAATGAATCACTTTTAAAGGTTAGTTTGTCATCTGAATTTTTTAATATTCACTCTACAATAAATCATTTCCTTAACTCTCCGAAGTTCTTAACACCTTTTCCTTCAAAATTACATGAAGATAACAAATATATCGCATTAAGAAATATGTACAATTTTTTTACGTGTGTATTATTATTTCTACTTATTATAAGTAAGCTTAATTTTTGTCCATAGATGATTGATGATGGCGGAAAAAATTGCAAACAGCCGATATGTGAACCAATTACCTGCTACATTGACGTACTTTCTTCATTTAAAAAAAAAATCCATTGTTATCAAAATTAATCCTTATTTGCTAGTTGAAGAGAATTGATTTTATTGGACAGCACGATACGTTGAAATTGATCAGTGAGAATTTTGCCTTAAACCGAATTAAATTTTTGTGATGCTTTATATGACATAAGGACCCCAACTCCTAGGACGTTGGGTCAAGTCGTGCAGTGTTTACTACCTGATTCCAAAAATAACTGTAGCCTATATTTTTTCATCATTTTTTTCACGTATATATTTTGTATTTTGTTTCTTTTTTTACTGAAGGCCACGTGGAAAGGAGCTATTGACTATTGCTGTTCGTTAGGAATGAGATTGCTGACCATTTACTCTTACGAAAAACAGTATTGTTTGGGAAAAGTCTTTGAACGAAAAAGTAAAAATTAAATTAAAAATTAATTTATTATCACAGTAAATGATTGTTTTACATTAAAGGTGAACAAATTTTTGAAAATAAATTCTGGACCTCCGGAACTGACCTGCATTGTCCAGGAAAATTTATGTAATTTTCAACATGTTGAGTGTGTTTTAAAAACCAGCTTGAAAACTCGCACCACCATAAAAATATTACGATAATTTCCATGCCAATTATAAAATAAAACACATCAGATCGTTCACAAAATAAATAAATTTCATTAGGTGGTGTTCAAATGAAATAAAAGACTATATTAAAACGAACCTTCTATGGCAAGAAGGGCAGCCTAACTTGAATAGCTCATGCATTTACATCCAAAACGATATTTTAAACGGTATTGATTGATATTTCACCTTTTAAGATTTTAAATTTATTTCCTTCTAGGTCCACTGCTTGGCACAAAAAATTGCAAAGTTAAAATGCAATTCATATGCGAGGTTTGAAAAATTCAGCTTTTTACACAATTTTAAAAATTCAAAAAATTTTAGGCACGCTCTCCAGCAAAGACATATTTTGAATCAGTTGCAAATGAGTGTCAAGAAGTTAACCGAGTTAGCAACCGTGAACATAAATTTTTTGACACGATCTTTTCATACAATTTCAATTTAGGTGAAGTGCTTTCTTTTAAAAATGAGTCAATCAAAACCTTTTCCTATAGATTGAAAGTGAGTTCTTACAGTGTATAATTATCTGTAATAGTATCTGTAATAAAGTAATTATCGAGAAATAATATCAACCCCTTTTACAATAGTGTTACCTTGCGTGCATTTTTGAGATAATGGCATGGGTAAAAATCTCAATAATTATGATTGAAGAAATTTAATTTTAATTAATTATTCTTCTTTTTTTTTAGTTTTATGACAATCACAAATTTTGGACTGACACAGTCGTTCAATACATATTTGGGACATCTATTGATATTTCCGATGGTGAAAGTAAAATATATAAATATGATATGAACATCAACAACTGACAAAAATTAATATCTATGGTTGTTGCAGAATTGGAAAAAAAAATTGGGAAAATAGTCGACTTGTCCAACGTAAACACAACTGAGAATGAAAGAAGGAAATTTTTTAGCTGGCTTAACTTCTATCGCGATAGTCTTGAGGAATATCAGTCCCTCACCAGAAGAGAAGCTCTTGAAAATTTTGCTAAATGCCAAAACAGTGAGATTTTTTAATGCAAAATTAGTTCATTATATTTCTTGCTATGTTTAGTCCAAAACAGCGGCGAGGAGTGCATTTATGCATACGAGTTTTTCTCGTGCCTTTTCAATAATTCGCAGTTCCTGCAAGATATTTGGAGATTAGAAGGTATCATTGTGCAAACTATGGACAGTTTCTCTGAGTGGAATTATGTGAAAGGAAATCTTCTGAGGCCTATACCTACAGATATATTTCCAATCGGCTCTGATGAATATCTAAACTTCAAATGTTTCATCAAAGTTTTGGAAGATAGGGATGAAAGAGGCATACGAGGTTACTGCTCCGCTTTGCGTGAGCATAATTCTATAACTCATTGTCAGTAGCTCACTGAATGAAGAGAAAAGTAAAAAAATTTAAAGAAATCTTCTTGAACTCAAAATTTAAAATATCTATGCATAAAATTGGATTCTAAACTTAAAAGAGCAACAAACAAATTTCTTTTTAAAATTTAGATTTTAAAAATCAGAGTTTATCTGTCGGACTCTGAATATTTTTATTTTGATTTTCGCAGTTTATGCTAACAAACTTATCACCAATGAGACAATGCTATTAACATTTTTCTTATCATGGATGAATTGTGGAAAGGTAGTTATTCAATTAGAAATTATATAATTTATCACAAGTTTAAATTTTTGTGCAGTTCCCATTGCAGAATGGTTTCCAAAAATGTCACGCAGTCAGGGGATCACCGCTCATTGCTGCATCAGTAGAAGAATTCAACAAATTGTTTTTTCTCCTAAATGGTACTTAAAATCAACTGAAAATTTAAAGATTTAAACTAATTTGTGCAGGAACGAAGAACAATCTGCTTTGGAATGAGGCTTACGTTGGTGAAAACGGAGAATTGTGGTGGTGCGGCTACGATTCCCTCAAGGTGCCTGTCCCACTTGATTCTGGCACTGACATAATTGCGGACTTCCCTTTCTACTTGGTGTCTTTAGCGAGTCCTAGACCAAATTTGCATGCTATTTATCTGGACTCGAATATTACTATATCTCATCTGTTTTGTCAGATTCCTAAGAGCGTAGCAAATAAGTGTCTTAAATATCCGCAATATTTCACAAATTATAAATATTATAACCTGCCACTACCCGAAGACTTGTGATTGTATGCATTCAAAATAATTATGTATTCATTTCTGCCCTCTTTATTTTGCACAAAAATCGAAATTAGTTTCAACCTTCAATATAAAATTTGATAAAATATTTTGTTTTGCGGGATCAAGATTATGTATTTGTTTGAAAAGTTGTTTCTCGAGGAGATGATCATGGAAATCATTTCCAAGATTATGTATGCATGTGTTTATTGAACGCCAATGGCGTGCGACAGATTACATAAAATAAATGTAGTATAATATAATAAACACGAAGAAGGCAAATAGCATCATTTTTTCCATTTAACTTTTGAAGCTTCGATAAGAGACATATCATTTTTTTGCGCATTTGAGGAAGTGATAAGTGTCCATCTGCTGGTTACATTTTTTGCACACGCATTTCTTGAGCACTCGCGTAATACTTTTTATTTTGGCAAAACACATAGTGAAAACCGTGACATGCATATCGGGTGAAAACGTGTCGATTTTCAAAGCAAGTGTCAGTTTTGGTCGGATCATTGCGGGAGTGACAAATAATTTTAAGTCTATTTCGGCAATTTTTAAGTATTGATTACTTGATTAGTGAAAAAATTTTCATAACTTCGGTTTCGGGGAGAGAATATTTCAATCGCAGATCCTCGATGAGAGAACTTGTGTCGGCTAATGCATAATGTTTATCGTGATTTTGTATGTTTAGAGAGGGAGAGAGCTTTTTTGAGAAAGCGTGATTTGACTGTTTCGAGGTGCTGAAGATCATTTAATGATAAGTACGGCAAAGGGGCTGGGGTGGTGTCCGGTTGGGGCTCGAACAGTTTTGATCCAGGTTTGATCAAGATTACATAATATCAAATTTATTATAATTATTTTATTTTTGATGTGTGAAAGCTGAAAAAAATTAAACGAAACGTACAAAGTACAAACTGTACTTTTATTTATCCTTGGACAAGATTTCAAAAGGAAGACGTTTTCTCTTTATTCTATGAATTAAAGAAATTGTCTTTTTTGGGTCATCTGAAGGATAATTGAAACTCGATGCCAGAAATACATTAATTACAATTTGAGTCAAAAAAGAGAAAAGCTTGATGTGATTTTAAGGCCTTTTTATTATAAAATATGGTCAATATTCCTGTTTTAAATATCATCTTTAATTCAATTAAAGAACAAATTAACAATTTTAACGGGAGTTATGTTTTAAAAGGATTTGGCATCATAGTCAATATTGAAGTTATTCTCTTGAATAATTTATTGTATTCAAAATGCCATGGTTTAGCAATACATTAAAATCTGATCTTATTGAAACGTCAAAATAAAATTTATGGAATGTTTTGTTATTTTCATTGTTGTTATTTATTTTTCCCAAAAAAGCTGAAAAAATTTGCAATGAAAGAAAGAAAGAAAATGCTAAGAAAGCAGAACTAAAATTTGTTGATAAAAATAAGGCTATTAACAATTTTGCCAAAACTTCCAAGATATTAAAAAAAAATCATATGATGCAGTCAGCTTTGGACGAACTTTAAGATCTATTACAAAAATGAATTTTTTATTGAATGCAAACCCATCCTATACTTCTTTCAACCCGTCCGTGGGTCCAAGGTCACCTTGTTATTGGGCCCAAAGGGGAGAATTTGAGTTATCGGCCCTTGAAATTTAACAGGCCTAACTGCTACCGCTAGTGCCTTTCGCCGAGAGGAAAAAGAAGCAAAATAAATAATTGCTAATTATTTTGCAGCATTTAAGCCTGAATTTTTTTTATATACCTACTACCTACTGTTCGTTAATCAAATTAAAGTTTTCAATTTCCTTCAAATTTCATAAAACAGATAAAATTATAAATATTACAAAAATGAAAACGTGTAAGCTGCAAGAATTCTCCTTATGATCCACATATTATATCTCTCTTGACCAGGTCCAAGTGTCACTTGAATATGTTTTTAATTTATGAATATTTCATTTGAATTTTCATCAGATCAAAAAATTTTGTTTATCATGAAAAATGGCAGTTGGTTTCAACTAACAATAGGTTTATTGATTGCAAAAATTAACAGTTAATTTGCTTCAAAGCTACAATAATTATGATCTTCATGATAAGGTTCGAATAAAACCTGAATTGAAACAGCTAGTAATGAAAAACAAAAGATAAAATCTTGTTATTTCCGTTATTTCATTAAAAAAAGGAGATTAGTTGGGGCAGGAAACTAGAGGAAAAGGAAGCTGTCTCAATTGAAAACAATATATTACTACTGAGTTCTGAGTTACAATAAATATTCAGCAGCGTTCGGGCCCAATCATAATGAAGCGCAATGTTGCTGCTTTCGATAGTGTATATTGTGGCTCAGATTTTGGTATGCCTATTTAAATATTAAAATACTCTAGGAACTTTAAAAAAAATCTTTCAGAATGTTGATTCAAAAGCTGCAAAACTACCATTTTGCTTTGCAAATTGCACTTTGCACGACCAAACTCGCGAGGTTTGATTGCAAAATTTTGATGAAAAAAATGCTCTAATTTTATTAAATACCAGAAATTCTTGGAGTCCACATATCCTGAAGGTAAGTTGATTTATGAAAACTATTAAACTATATCTTGATTTTAATTTAATTGTCATAAGAGCTAATATCTGGATCAGATAGTAAGTGCTATGCAAAATAAAAAGGTTTATCTAAAAAAATAAAATTAAATAGCTTTGTCTACACTTTTGTCCAAGGATCGTTCAAAATACATTGGAAATAGAAAATTTATTTGTGGTCGTCTGTACTTTTTTGGATTTACAAAGGTTTTCTTTTAAACATCAATATTGTTTTGAGATTTTTGAAAAGAAAATTAAAAAAAAAAGGTGACATTCAGGGATGCAGTAATTGCCTGTGCCCAAAGACGCATGCAACTCATGTCAATCAATGACGGACCAAAGCAACAAAAATGCCTAACTGACAGCAATAAAATTACACAGAATTTTATCTTTGACTGGCTAAGTAAAAAGTTCAATTTTTTTCAGTTTCTCGCATTAAAATATTAACAAATAAGGTGCTGATAATTTCGACTATGTATGGACCAGCGGGATGGCCGAGGGGAATTCAACGAGGTGCAAATCTGTGGCGTATTCGTGGTGCGCCAAAGACTCGAGCATTGTTGATCCTGAGTTTTTCAACCTTTCCAAAGTTCAGTCAGACCTGAAATGTTTGGCGGTTAGTCCTAAGATGGGAAACCTTGCTAGAGTCAGTTGTGAAAAACTGCTACCTTTTTATTGTGAGGTATTTTTCTTGATATGTGTGCAGTCAAATAATGTTTTATCGTTAATTATTTTTTACACGATGCACTAATCATTTACTTTCACAACAAGCCTAATGCATTTTTAATTTTTATTTTATATAAAATTTTTTTATTAAAAAAAGCACAACTAATTATTTTCACTAACTGCAGCTTTATTTCAAATAGGACAATGACTGAAAAGAGATATATTTAATCATTGACACCAAAACTTATTTTTATAAAGTTTAATTTTGCTAATTTTGAGGCTTGATACTATTTGTGAATTTCTTTTATGCCGTGAAATAGGTAGCTGTAGTTTGTTACCGAAAACAGACAAGCAGATTTTATAATCTATTTACCAAACGATTGAAAACCCCGGTTTTTCGTGTGTCCTGATTCGCCCCCTCAGGTACAACATACTTTAATTTTTGTTACAAATTGCAATTTTTAGAGCCAATGCAGTACTGTCTTCTGTCCCAGAAATGATATTTGCAAGAAAGACGTATTATCAGTTAATAAAAAATAATATTGAATAATCATGAACAATTAAGGAGAGCCTTTTTGATGAAAATAATGAACTAAAAAGTATTTTATTTCTTCTGCTGCAAACTATTAAGTCAAACGATTTAAATTATTGTGTATAGACGGCCTCAGCTTTGGAGTCTGGACTCAAATAAGTATTAACCGTTTGATGAACATCACTTACTTATTTGGGACAGTAAAGGTTACAAGAATATAATTAATTCAAATGAATTCAACACGAACGCGGAAAAATAATCACAATTCACGAGAATTTCTTTTTAGATGTCGTGGACGGAGAACATAAAGATGTGCTGTAAACTCGGAATGAGTCCTATTTACCCTGATACCAATAGGATAAGGAAACTCAACAGCGCAACATTTTACCCACGTAACCCAAAAATTAAGAATTCAAACCGGGCTCACTAATTGCAAAAAAAAAATGTTTGGAAAAGATCCCAGGGTCGCTTGAGTTTGCTCTTTTATTGCAAGGGCAAATGTCTAACGTTTCAGGGAAATGCTGTCAGATCAAAGTAAAAAGGCTGTGAGGGTTTCGCGTCACTCTTTTTTCTTTCAAATCTTTTAGTAAAAACCACCGCATTTGATTTAAAGTTTCTTAGACATATAATATTTTTCAAAATGAAAGCTCGGATTAAATCATTTATGGATCTGGCTCCACTTTACTGGACGGCCGGAACAAGGCTTGGATGTAGTGGTCAATACCGATTCTGCATGCATGACAACTTAGGTCCTTGGGATTCGGATGCTCTGATATGGAAACGTCTAAACGCTGCATTTACTGGCTCTTGCCTTGCTATGCAGCAGGTTAAAGAATGGTCGTATCCATACCTTCCTACTCAAATGCTATGTACGTCGACCCTTGTAAATTTTGCTTGTGAGCTCAAGAACGCTAACGTGATTGAAATAATTGGAAATGAATCACTTTCCAAGGTAAGTTTGATTTTAAACGTATTAAATTAAAAGATCTGATTTCTGAATTTCCACTTCAAATTTGTAATTCATATTCTTAATCTCTGAGCTTCTGAACATTTTAAATACACGAAGATTATAAATTTAGCCCAGAGAGAAATGTGCAAATAATTTTATATACTCACTGTTTGAAGGTATTAATATAATTCAGCTTAATATGCTTGATAATATTTCCCTATGACGTTGTGGTTCCTAGAAAGGGTTAATTAATATTAAATCAAGCTAATTTGAAGAACAATGGATCATAATTTTGTATGAATTCCACCTAGAGTGTCATCATTCAATTTGAAAAATCATGTTTCGTATATTTGCAATAATTCGCAAAAAAATAAATTATAAAGCAATAGTTCTTACTGACTTCTTAAATTTTATCGTGAAGAAAAGACTTAAGTAATCTTAATTTGTGTCAATAGATCTTTAACGATGGTGAAAATAATTGCAAACAACCAGTATGTGAACCTATTACCTGCTATCTGGACGTACAATTTTCTTTTTACAACAAACTAATCTGTTCTTATCAAAATTGAACTTTTTTCATGCCAGTTGAAGAGACTGGAGTCAATCGGAGAAAACGCTACTTTGAAATTGATCAGTGAGAATATTGTTACAAGGGGAATGAAATGATTGTGATGTGCTTTATGATTTAAAAAGGACCCCAACTTCTAGGACGTTGGGGCAAGTCTTGCAGTGTTTACTACCTGATTCCAAAAATAACTGTGGGCTATTTTTTATAAATTTTTTGCATAATTATTTTTGTTTTCTTTTTTTACTGAAGGCCACGTGGAAAGGAGCTATTGACTATTGCTGTTCCTTAGGAATGAGATTGCTGACCATTTACTCTTACGAAAAACAGTATTCTTTGGGGAAAGTTTTCGACGATCAAAGTAAAAATTCACATAATAATTTATTATTAAGGTATTTTTGCATATATGGTTTTGATCCAAAGGCAAATTAACTATTGAAAATAAATTCTGGACCTCCGGAACTGATCTCAATTGCCAAGGAAAATTTAGGTAATTTTGCTCATTTTCAGCATTATGTGCGATTAATAACGCAGTGCGATAAATGACACAACCATAAAAAAAAATAGTTCAATTTTTCCATTCTAATTATAATAGAAATCACAGCAGATTTTTCACCAAATAAAAACCAAATTTCTCCAGATGGTGTTCAAATGAAATTAAAGACTACATTAAAACGAATCTACTATGGCAAAAAGGGCAGCCTGGCATGAATAACTCATGCATTTACATTCAAAACGATAATTTGCGTGGTACACATCTTTATTTTTATTATTATCATTTTCCCATTCATCGCGTCATTATTTTTTCTTTGAAGGTCCTCTTCTAGGCACTAACGATTGCAAAGTTGAATTACACTTCATTTGCGAGGTTTGAAAAATTCAGCTATTCACAATTTTAAAATTAATGAATTGTAATACAATTTTAGTCAAGAACTCCCGCAAATACATATTTTGAATCAGTTGTAAATGAGTGTCAAGAAGTTAACCGAGTGAGCAACCGTATGAAAAAAAATTTGTAAAATGATATCTTCTTACAATTGAAATTTAGATGAGGTGCTTTCCTTTAAAAATGAATCAATCAACAAATTTTCATATAGAATGAAAGTGAGTTATGGTTTTCGTGCATTATAAAAGATAAAAAATGTTGATAAATTGATTACAATAATTGCGTATACACTAGTGTTTCATAGCTTGCATTTTTGAGATAATGGCATTGGTAATAATATCCTCGATATGCGAATTGGAAATTTTTAATTATTACTATTAATTAAGTTTTACGATAATCACAAATTTTGGATTGACACCGTCATTCAGTACATCTCTGGGACGTCTATCGATACTTCCAATGAATTAAGTAAAATATGCATCCAACTGCGAAGTATATCAAAAAATTAAAATCCATAATTGTTGCAGAATTGAAAGAAAAAATTTCAAAAGCAATATTTAACTTAACGGACGAAAGCAAAACCTTGGATGAAACAAAGAAATTCATGAGCTGGCTTGGCTTCTATACACATACTTTTGAGGAATATCAATACCTCACCAAAAGAGAAGCTCTTGAAAATTTTGCTAAATGCCAAAACAGTGAGATTTAATGAAAAATCAGTTCATTATATTTCTTGTTATCTTCAGTCCAAAAGAGGGGCGAGGAGTGCGTCTATGCATATGAATTTTACTCGTGCCTTTTCAATAATTCTCAATTCTTGCAAGATATTTGGAAATTTGATGGTATTGTTGTGCAAAATATTGACAATTACCTCCTCTGGGGTTACAAAAAGGGAGAACTTATGAGCCAAAAGCCTACTGACATCTTTCCAATCAGTTCTGAACTTCTGAGCCTCAAATGTTTTTTTAAAGATTTGAAGGAAAATGACGAAAGAGATGCACGAAGTTACTGCTCCGCTTTGCGTTAGTATCATTCTTCAGATCAATTATTTTCATAAAAAAAATGTATTAAACTACAATTTTTAACAATAATGAAACAAAAATAAGTAATTAAATTTCTCGTATTTTAATTTTTAAATTTTGGCATAACTTAATACAAAATTCTTAATGATTTTAGATTTTGAAATTGTGTGCTTGTTTGCAAAAATTTTGAATTAATTGTTTTGATTTCCACAGTCTATTACAATACATTTATCACCAATGATACAAGATCATTCACCTTTTTCTTACCATGGATCAATAATAAAAGAGTAGTATATTCAATACAAAATTATGTTTTAATTAACGTTTAATTTCGTTTGCAGTTCCCATTGGAGAATGGTTTCAAAAAATGTCACCAAGTCAGGGGGACACCGCTCATAGCCGCATCTGTTGAAGAATTCAACAAAACTTTCATTTTCTTAAATGGTAGTAACAATCTACTGAATATTTATTTTACTTAACTAATCTGGGCAGGAACAAAGAACAATCTGCTTTGGAATGAGGCATACGTCGATGAAAATGGAAAACTGTGGTGGTGCGGCTTTGAATCGCTGAAGGTGCCTGTCCCACTTGATTCTGGCACCGACATAATTGCGGATTTCCCTTTCTACTTGGTGTCTCTAGCGAGTCCTAGACCAAATTTGCATGCTATTTATCTGGACTCGAATATTTCTATTCCTCAATTGTTTTGTCAGATTCCCAAGAGCGTAGCAAATAAGTGTCTTAAATATCCGCAATATTTCACAAATTATACTTATTATGAGCTGCCACTACCTGAAGATATATATGATTGAATATTTCATGTTCATATTAATTTTTATTATTAATATTAACCAATTTTTTTTTAAATATCAAATCGCTAAGTTAATGCATAAAATAATTATTTTGTAGAGTAATGGTATATTACTGATTTTTGTTACATTTTTTGATGTGCATTTATTTTGCTAAATTAAATTGTGATTTTAGTTTTGTATTAGCAATGGATGAATTTTAGCGACGGTAAATGAGAGCCAAAATGATCAGTTTTGGGTCATTTGACGGAAAATTATCCTCAATAACGACGAGAAATTTAATTTATTGCTCTCTCTATTGGATACTTAAATCCTCATTGCTAGAATAAGCAGCTATAAATGGGTTTTTCTGGATTAATTTCATCAGAAATCGCGTCCAAAAGCTCCTTATTTTGCTTCAAATTTATTGACGGTTCTCATTATAAAATATTCGAAAATATTCTAGTAAAAGATCAATTTTTTAGTTTACACTCAAGTTTTATTTTATTATTTTATTGGCTTACATATTGTTAATTATATTTAACTTCATTAATCATTGCACAGCACAATGCATGCGTGCATGAAGATAAATTTTCTGTGTGGATATGTAGGGGCTCTATAATTATGTTTACAGTAGGGGCGAATATATTTACACTGATGGATGTTTGTTGTTCATATGCGCAAAACAAAGTTTTCTAATTTTCATGTATATCAAACGCACAAAACTTAAACGTAAGCAATTACAAAATAATGAGCAATAATCTTGAACCGTAATTAATAAATTTGTAAGGTGCGTGATATTCAACATTTTGTTTGAATTTTATTTACAATTTATGTTTCAATGAAGTTCATTTCAAGGCACTCCATTGGCAGCCGTAAATAATAAAAGGCACCAGTATATTTTACAACCTTCGAACTATATAATCAATCTCAATTGACGATAAAGCGCTAAGTTCGCTTTTTGCACCCGCAAAGTGCTATAATACGTTTGACAGATTTATGAGAATTTATGACACACTAGGTTTAGGTAACGTTCTGCGATTCTGCAGGGAGCAGAGCAAACAAACAAATGACTGCAACTTTTTGTCCACATTTCTCTGCACGCGTTTTTTACACAGGAAAAAGCAGCCCGGTTGAATGGCTCCTCTAGATATAATTTTTATTCTTGAATCCCTAAAGAGGAAAAAATTTCATGACTGAAATCAAAATCTCTTGATCAAAAACATTCGCAATCCTGTTGTAAGGGTTTGAACAGAAATTCTTCCGCCAAAAGCATTTTAAACTTTTAAGGGAAATGTTGTCGCCTAGATATTCTTAAATATATGTATTTATTTAATTTCCTAGGTGAGAATATTTAATAAACTAAAAACCCCATTGAAACCTTGTATATTATGAAAATAAAATTTCAATGACCTTTAAAGGGGAACCTTGATAATTTCCTATTCCTATTTCATCCCTCAATAGTCCAAACTCCGATTTTTTCAATCCCAAACTTGATTTCAGTCAATAAGTTTTTCTACTTGAAGAATAAAATGTAAAAACCGATACTAGAGATAACCTATAACTACGTGCCTTTTTTTCTCTCATCACTTTCCGAGTAGGCAAATGTTTTTCTTCGACTCTTTCGAAACCAGCTCGAAAAGTTCTGTAAATTTTTACAAACGACTGTGTTCGATAACTGCCGACGTCTGGCCGGTGGACACGGAGCTTTTGCGGGACGCGGACTGGCTGCTCTGTCGTTGGTGTCTTTCGATTGTGTGTGATATGAAGTCCTCAGCAATGACCCGGTCGAGGCCTGTGTACGACTGCTCCAGCTCCTCGTCAGTGAAGGCGTTCGCCGGTCGTTGCCTTTTGGCGGCCAACACGGCCAATCGCTCCTCCTGCAAAAACAGGCCCGGACGTTAGAATGATTGATTCGGTGCAAATAAACGTGAAATAAAATGAGTGAAGAGGAAATGGATTGGAAATCAATGTCGACGCTTGATTTACGACGAAGCTTAATAGACGGAACTAATGTTTACTTTAGCCGAGGGGATAATCTTCATCAAGGATATCAAGTGATCGCAGACAAAGTATGAAAATACAAACAAGGCATAAAGCCCTTTGTGTCTATTTCGATCACAATCCGCGTGTGTATGCAACCGGCTTGGTAGCTACGTGACGCGTGTTGCGTACCTCACCAGGCTACTCCCAAAGGTTGCTATCGAGATTTCACATTATGGCCAAAAATGGAATGGCGGAAATCCTTTGACATAGAAAATATAATTTCGATACATTATTCCGGCAGAAAAATAAGTATGTACATATCAAAATGTACATATCACGGATGGAATTCTCATTTAAGGAGAGATATTAATTTTACAGACTCTAAAAATGCGAGGGCGATTTCGATCCAATTGATAAATCTGGCCTAGGCTAACTATCATGCCATTTAAATGATTAATAACATTTTCCTATAGAACAATTTAATCCACCATCCAGTTAAGGCTCTTAAGTAACCCTTTCTATTTTCATGCTGATTTATTTTCCCGATTTTTAGCGTCACTATGGAAACAAGAGGAAAAAAATGGCAAACCTCTTTTGGGTCCTTCTCAATGGTGACGTCTGGGGAGAGCGAGTGGTGCGAGAGGGCGTCGCCGTTGGTGGATCCGCTTCTTTTGTGCCGGCTGTGGCGCCGCTCCTGCAAAATCCACAAACGCAGCAATTAGTAGAAGCGCGCTTTGATCTCTCTATTCGCAAACAGTGAGAGAGGTGCGCGCGTAACCAAAATCGGGGCCAGGCTTTTCGAGATTAGATCATGAATGGCAGCCAAAGGAGAATACAGAGTGTTTGTTGTGCATGTCGTTAATACACCCTCCCTGCCTCCCGACACACAGGGTTAAATTCACGCACAAACTGTCAAAGCCTTGCCTTTAATGATTTCCACGTGTCTCAATCAGATTTCACAAAGTGCTCTTTGCCTAATGAAGTTTGATCAATTGTTTAGCAAGCAACTAATTAGATTAAGTTGATGAATTGGAATAATTTAAATCTGGCACTTCTAAGATGGTAGTAATATTTAAGAAATTTCAAATGGAAATTTTTCGCAATTTTTGTTACATTAAAAATGCTATTTTAAATAAAAAGCCAATCGATGAAAAACTTGTGAAATCCAGAAATTATACGTAATTAATATTTTAAACGTATTGTTGATCTCAAAATGAAAATTAGTTGGCTTTTTTGGAAGTTCAATAAAACTTAAATGGGCAAGGATATTACGAGAAACGTTTGTAGGATAGGAAGTTAAGTTAAAAGACTACGCTAGACATACATATATACACCATAATAGTCCATATAAATTCAAACTCCCACAGGCAATTGTACTAAAGTGACCGCATTTAACTTTTTAATCAAATTATTATACTACTATCAACATGAAAGCAGAGATGAAGCTCAAAGCTTTGGTGTATTCACACGACCAAAAGCAGAAGAAACTTTTTATAGCTTGCGGAAATTAAAACGAGGCTTTAAATTAAATTGTGTAATTTGTGCCAGGAAATATTAATTTATAAAATATTTCGCATTCAATGAGTACTAAATTTTTCATTTTTTTTTTTTTAGAAATAATGTAACACAAATTGTGAAGTTCTCTGATAAGAAAATCTTCTATCTTAACCTATTTTCCCCTTCAGATTTTGTAGAAAGGGAAGCAAAATTATGCACCGAGGGAGCAATTTTGAGCGGCACCGAAAGCCATCGGACCATTTAAACCCTTGATCTTTGGCATAAGTGGTGATTTAAGTGGCAGGTCCATTAACGCACATTTACGATCGGGGGAAATTGCCATAAATAGAGTGAGTGAAGGATTTTGAACTCACGCGTCTGTCGATGGGCATCGTCATGTTGGCGGCGTGCAGCATGCAGGGCGGTGGCGGCCCCATGGGGTGCGGCAGCATGTAGGGTGGCACTACCATGGGTGGCGGTGGCATGTGCAGGGGCACGATGTGCGGAGGTATGGAGCCGCCGTAAATAGAGCCGCCAGATGGAGGAGACATCTGAAAAAACGAGGACAAAAGGCTCAATTTGGCATCAGCAGGCAACTTATTTGCGTGAGTGCTGCGCTGTCTGTCGTCAGCTCTATTTCGCTTTTTGCAAAACCTGTGGGTGCCAAAAATTTATTTCCCTCACAAAACAAAACCTGCTTGGAATGAAAATCCACACAGAAAGGTAACTGATTTTTTTTAGATAAATGGTAAAAAAAAAGTGATAAAATCAATATAAGAGATTCTCGGAAAATTTTCTCTTATTTAATAAATATTTGGCATAATAGCTGATATTTATTATTAACTCAAGAAGCTATATAATCAAAATTCATGAGCATAGAAATAGTATTATCAATGTAGGGGCGTTTATAATATTAGATTTTGTTATCTCTTCAAAATTACCATGCGCCAAGGATTTAAAAATGTTCCTGATAAAGAAAGATAAACTATTGCGGACTTGTATTTAATGAATGAAAATCTTTTTTTTTTTGACAAAAATATCCACAAACACAGCTGGCTCAACACAACTCGAGCTGAACTTGCTTTCAGTTCAACAAAAGTTGCTGCACTGAAATTGATTAAAATTACAAAATGAATCTTATTAATTTTTGTTTCAAATGCTTTGATAATTCTTACGTTCTATTCCAAGATCGCCACATGCAATATTTTTCTTTTACAAAATAGATTGTGAATTGTTTGACATTTTTTTTCTTACTCTATCGAATTTTACCTTTTTTCAGTTTTCTTGCGTTAAAAGTTTGAATAAAAACATATATGAAAGCCTGTATGTCTCCTTTTTGCTGGCGCAAACTATATTCGCTGCAAGATTATGCACGACGCGGCAAAAAGTTTAGTTTTATTGAGGCTGATTTATTGCAAAAAGTTATAATATTTTACTACACACTCCATACAGGGCAAAGCCGAGGCGCATAATGTCCTTTTTATGGCCGAGAATTGTATCGGTACGTTTTTTTATTCTTTTTGTTTTTTCGTGCCAGCATTTCATCCTTTTTTTTCAGCCGCTTTCGGCGAAACACGAACTCTGTGCCAAACGAAATTGATTCAGAAATGCCGTTGCGATCCATTTGCATTGGAAATTTGTTGATGTCCGTGCAGCCATTTGAAAGTACACTTTTCCAGGGTTGCGATTCCGCCCGTGGGGATGAGATGGCCACGAATATTTAATCACCCCTGCCTGCCGGGACTGCGCAACTTAATCATCTCACAGAGAGATGAAAACGCAGCCCAGCCGGATTTCATGAATAGTCCTGAGCTTTTTGCTTTGCTAAATAAACACGTTAATTCTGCACACTTATCTGTACATCCCCGCTGACGGCCTGATAAAATATACACCCCTTTTTGCGGCTTAACACTTTTTGCAAACAGTTTGTGCGCGATTACATTTGGGCATCTGTTGGGCATATAATCAAATCTAGACGGGCGCGTGGTTTATTTTGTTTGGTCTTCATCAGAAAGGAAAAGCCATGAAATTGAATTTTAATAATCAAAAGAACTTTTCGGAACTTTTGAAATAATTCATGTGTATTTTCATGCTAATTATTTTTTAATTGATGAATTTAATTTTCGTTATTCTTTATATAGTTTTATCGTTTTCCACTCTGGAAAAAGTTTGTTCATTTACAATCTTTATTACATTTTGATAAAATTAGGATCATTAACTGTCCAGATCTAAATTTTGGCACTTTCATCAAGCTTAAATTTAATTCCTGATTGAAAACTAAAATTCTCTATGATTGAAAAGAAATTTCTTTTCAAAATTGAAATCTTAACAGAAATTTAAATCGTGTATTACAATTTTTATTCCTTATTTTAAATTATTCTCACGAATATCCAGCTGGTAAAACAACCCCTTAAAATTTAGGCAATCATTTTTTATTCTATTAAACTAACACATGCCTCAATAGTATGAACACTCCTCATAGTCAATCATCAACCATTGAAAAATAAATAAACCTGAAAAAATAAAAAAATAAACCAGTTTGTATTGTAAATTCAATAATTGCAATTCAATAATTATACCATTAAATACCTTTATGAATTTAAATTCCTGAAAAATTCATGTTTATGCACATATTTGCCAAAAAATTGTGAGCAAAACTATGCATAATTATTGTTTCTAATTTGTTCAATTGTTACTTTTGGCGGAGTAAAAATACTGAATTCACTGTTATCCAAATAATAATTATTCCAATCGCGTGTTTTCGTTGGACTATGGCCATAAATTTTCGCAAACGGTAGGAAATATTTTTCGCAATAACAGACAAACGTGTCCAAAAAAAAGTGATTTCACCATTCTGAAAGTACGCGACAACTTCTGTGCCGCAAGTCGTACGTGCTAAAATTAAATCCGCAGTGTCCAGCTGAAAATACAAAAATTTTCCCTCACTAAAACAAAAAAAGCAAAACGTTCCAGTCTGCCTCGCAACAAAACTCGGCTTTTTAATAAAAAAGTTGGCTTTTTCAGATGAAATGCTTCTTTTTCCTCACAATATTTTTCGATTTGAGAATTTCTATGCAAACGACTGGAAGAGAGGGAAATGAATTTGCTGCGGACAATGCAATTCACAGAATGTGTCTGTTGAGGATAAAAAATAAGAAAGAAGGGGTTGTGCAAATAAACCATCGACAATAAAGCTAGGGAAAAAGTGGTCCATAAAAAGTTAGTCGCCTGCTACACTCGCCGACCATAATGTAATCTGCGTTGGGTCTCTCTTTATTTTTCTCTCTTCTCACTTTCTGACCTTGAATCGCATCGATTCGATGGATGCTGTGCCCCTTGATGATGATCTTACACCCAAGGAATGCAATTTCGCTCAAAACACGCCCATCGTTGTGAGATCGGCAAATAGTTTTACTACGCCTGCATGTTAATTTTCGGCTTAGAGATAAATTCAAAGAATTTTTGTGTGTGTGTCTGTCTCTCTCTCTCTCCGTCAAGGGAAATGCGTATTAATCGAAATATTTGCGGCGCAATTTCCGACGGAGCGTTGCAAGTTATATAATGCAGAGAAAGATGAAAAAGGAAATATTTGTCTTGTCGTAAAAGCTTTGCAGAAAGAAGTAGAAGTACTTTACAAGTTTATTAGCTTAAAGGTTTAAAGAGCATCAGTTAGTCAAATATAAAAGACACTCAAAGACTCTGTCTCATTTTTGTTTATTTTGAACATTTAAAAGTATGCATATCAAAATTGCCCTTAAATTCGAGTAAATTTTCACTTGAGTGTTTCTATTTATATTGAGATGTTGAAAGGCTAAAAAACAATGGAAGACCCCATATATCATATAAAAAATCAATTAAATTATTATGTTGGTTAAAAAATGAATTATTTTTACAACTTTATTATGAAAATAACTGTAAAAACAGAGGTGTAATTATAGACAAAAAAACTGAATATGTACTTCGCTTTTTGCTCCAGATTAAATTACACCAAATTCATGTTCTCTAAGAAATCCTAAACAATCGTGAAATATTAAAGCCCCACCGGGCGATTTTCTCGTCCAGCAGATTCTCCTCCCATCCGAGAGAAGCGTAGGATAAATTAATGGGAAAGTTGTGTTCTTGCTGGGTTTAGCAGAAGATCGTTTCTGCCGCTCTGCAATCCATGTAAATTATTTCGCACAAGCTGTCGCAACTCCGCTCGCCTGAAAATTCTCAGGAGAAATTTTCTGGCGTGAAAATCGTAGTGCCCTTTTTCAACAGGTTTTGTGCCCAAAACGTGGGAAACGCCGTGCTTTACCACTGCGCGTAAAAGCAGAGATGAAAAAGAAATGCATTTTTTATAATATAGCCCAACAAAAAATTCCAGCTAGAAATAGAGCGTTGTTGTGTTTGTAACCGTAACGTAAAATTGCGAGACCTCCCTTTGTGGCCGCTTTGAATCTGTATTGGAATTCATAATTATCAAATTAAACATGTTATTGGTGACGCAATCGTGAATATATTTGCTTTCAAATGAATCCCTTTGGTGTCATTGGAGCCAATTTAATGGACGCACTCTTGTTTTGCTTGATTACCCAGAGCATTGCTGACAGTTTCAATAGATTATTCTGTTTTCACACAATTTTAACGAATAGGTCAGAGGTTAATCTAACAATAACATTATCATTCAGCCTAATGCCTAATAAAAGCGGAGCAAAGTAAAATCTAGGTTAGCATTAACTATTAGAAATATTTATGAATGAATTATTTGAATATCAGTAGTATTGTCCATCAACGCAATTTTTTAATTGCATATTTTAAATTCGTGTTTAATAAAATTAGTCATCAAATGCAATGAACAAACTTGCAAACTTTTTAAGTTAATAAATTGTCTTTTTGTTCAACAAGTTAACGAACTATAATAAATACATATATACTAAATCAAATCAAAAACTAACATGACTTACATGAGATTTTAGTCAGCATCAGCGATGAAAAAAATAGTCTATATTGTAGCATTTTAAAACTATTAATTGGAAATGTACTAATATTACAAATAATTGGGCCCAAATTGAGTTTTAAGAATCAGATAAAATTACCCATTTCCCATTTCACATATTTTTTCCCTAATAGGGGAACATTTATAAGATTATTGATCATACTTCTATAAACCCTTAACTTCTCTGGAGCTATTTCACTTATTAGCCGTTTTTAGCCTCAATCTAACTATTTATCACCTGTTTAAAGTAAAAATTAAAAATGTCTCCCAGATAGGCTTCTCGTTTCACCAAATCTAAAAATCGCAAATTTTATTAATACAAAATATACAATACTTATTACTGATACATTATTTTGCTTTATTAGATAAGCATTCAATGTATTTAAATTGTATGGCTTGAGTGATGATTGTTAAGAATAACCAATAAAATATATTTGATAAAAATTGATGGATATTATTGATGATCCATAAGAGGTAAGAAAATAAAACCTCATTTTCATTCCTATGTTTATCCAGTAAAAAAAATATTATTTTTTCATTATAAAAATATTAACATGAATAAAACTATTGTTT